CTGGGCCAGAAACTGAGGAATCAAATACATAATAGGACAAATGGATATAAGTCCCATTCCATAAGAAGCATCTTAAATATAATAAAGTATTTTTAATTTTATCATTTTTAGAAGACTCCCAACCTGATGAAATCTCAGAGGAGAGCCCAGAAAACCGCAACAAACATTTGTAGCAAGTTTTATTCACCAACAAATCATTGACTACAAACCAAGAAATTTCAGAAAAACCATGTAATCTGGACATAAACATTTTTCCTGCAAAAATCATGCCCTGTAAATGTGACACTGCAGGGCCTACTTACCTGGGTCTCATCCCATTGGCCCCACACTGTTAGTATTCAAAAGAAAAAGCTCACAAGCATAATGTATGTGAGAAATGGCTCCTCAGTGTTAAAGATGACAAAAATGATATTCAAGAGAAATCTTTTGTTTATAGTAAAAATGTGAAAGCCCTTGGTCATAAGGAAGAAGTTATTCAACATCAGACAATTCAGACTTTGGGGCAAGCTTTTGAATATAATGAAAGTGGAAAAGCTTTCCTTGAAAAGGCTGCCCTCCTTACATCTAAGAGTGCCCACCAAAAAGTGAAATCTTATAAAATCAGTAAATTTGGGGAAAATCGATGTGATAAATCAATCTTTATTGTCTCTCAGAGCATTCCTCCAGAGGAGAAGAGTCACTACAAGTTGGGTGAAAATAGAAATTGTTTCAGTAGGATAACTCAAGAAACTGACACAGAAGGGAAGCCAAAAAGCACACATTAGAGAACATCAGATAATTCATGGGGTGAAATCTTTTGAATATGGAAAAAATTTCAGCCATAATTTAGCCTTCCCAGTGCATCAGCAAATTCACGTAACAAATAAATGCTCTGAATATAACACATGTATAGAGACATTCAGCTACCAGTCAACTTTCAATGTACATCACAGAACTGACATAAGGGCAAAACCCTGTGGGTATAGTGAATGTGGAAAATCTTGCTCTATGAATTCATGCTTGATTAAGCCTCAGAAAATTCACACAGGGGAGAAACCCTATGAATGTCATGAATGAGGAAAAGCTTTCAGTGAGAAATCACGTCTAAGAAAACATCAGAGAACTCACCCAGGAGAGAAACCATATAAATGTGATGGATGTGAGAAAGCTTTCAGTGCAAAGTCAGGACTGAGGAGACATCAGAGAACCCACACAGGGGAGGAACCATTTGAATGTAATGAATGTGGGAAATCTTTCAACTATAAGTCAATCCTCACAGTGCATCAAAGAACTCATACAGGGGAGAAACCCTTTGAATGTAATGAATATGGGAAATCTTTCAAATATAAGTCAATCCTCGTAGTGCATCAAAGAACTCACATAGGGGAGAAACCCTTTGAATGTAATGAATGTAGGACGTCTTTCAGCCATATATCAGGCCTAAGGAATCATTGGAGAACTCACACAGGGGAAAGACCTTATAAATGTGATGAATGTGGGAAAGCTTTCAAACTGAAGTCAGGCTTAAGAAAACATCATAGAACACATACAGGGGAGAAGCCCTACAAATGCAATCAGTGTCAAAAAGCTTTTGGTCAGAAATCACAACTCAGAGGACATCATAGAATTCATACAGGGGGAAAAACCCTATAAATGTAATCATTGTGGAGAATCAGTCGGAAATCAAATCTCAGAGTACATGACAGAACTCATACTGGGGAAAAACCCTATAAGTGTGATGAATGTGGAAAAACTTTCAGGCAGAAGTCAAATCTCAGAGG